TGGAACGAAGAGAAATTTCTTCTTCTTCAATGCTGCATCTAATTCTAAATTCCTTTGACAGTTTCCCCACAAACGAAAGTGAATTAACATCGGGAATTGTCCCGAATTCCTTAAGGGGGCCTCTACTCTAGGTATTTCAATTATTTCACCCTTTGCCTTTGAAGCGGGTGGTTCGAATAAAAATAGTTTTGTTTACCAAATGTGATTTTGGAATGTACAGCATTTCACTGAGTTATTATAACGTCGTTGCACCAGTACCGTTATAAGTCCACGATGAGGGTAAAATAAATTAATACCAACATTGGTATTTTTAAATGCCAATGGAGAAATGTTAGATTGTTTACGTGGATTAAAACTGTGTTTTGAATATAAAGCTAAAACGTTGTTGCTAATTAGTGTTGAATTAGCAGAACATTGAAGGTGCATCACCGAAAACAGCTAAATCTCAAAGATTTCCTAAGCAAACTACTCAATACATTTACAAATATTTCACGAGACCAAGAAAATGACAATATCACAGTATTTGAGTATACAAGGTTCAGGAAATGGCTTCACCATATTTGATGTTATGAGCGAAACCAGTTGCCATGTCAAAATGCCCGCCTGCGTAAAGAATTCTGCAGTGATAACAGGTATCGTTTTCTATTGTTCAATAAATGTATCCTAAATCTACAGATTACTATTGGTAAGTGGGTAAATCTTTTTACCAAATTGTACAATGGACAATAATTCAAAACGCCTGCACCAGTTCGACAATCGAAACTTAAGCTAACGTTCGATAGAGATAAAAACAAAACACGGCCGGGCCCAAAACAATTTTCCCTGTACTCGGTGAGGCCACACATCCACCTATGACAAATCGATTTCCCGCGTCCGCGCTAATGAATCGAGAACTTCTGATTAATGGTGTCACTACATCCTTATCTCTCGGTTGTTATTGTAGCGCCTCCTTAATGGGATCACCCCCGCTTGGACAAACCGGCCAGATTAACAAATACTAGCATCGCAACAAATTATTTAAACTGGAGCTCTATTCTAAATGGCGTACTTAACTGAATTTCCCGCCTGTACAATTAGCGATACCTTTTATCTCAATTTAGACACTTGGGTTCCATTTTTTAAGTATTGGTCAGATTGATATTTTTCTATCTTTCCTAAAATTATACGGACAATTCGCTCTTTTACATTTTTTTTATTTGATAAGGCTATATCGTTATGTAGAATTGTAGATGAATTTCTTGTCGTCTGTGTAGTGTAGCAGGCATAGTTTTCTCTCTCTGGCGATTGCTTTCGTGTTGACGAAGAAAGAAACCCCTTCTGTCTAAAAAATTTATAAAAAACATCCATTAGGGAAAATTTTGTTTTGCTACATTTCGCAACCGAAAAACAAAGTGATTTGTTTGGTGTAGAAATACATGCTTTCACCCCCGAGGGTGCGCGTCAGTCAAGTAAGTAATGACAAGGATAAATTAAAAAGCGAAACGATTCTGGCGCCATCGACATGCTTATTCGAAGCTGTCAAAGGGGATTTTTGTTTTGTGTCATTTGTTTCAATTAGAGTTGGAGCGCCGGCTTTGGCGTGAAGCAGTTAAGTGGATAGTTTTTCATAATCGAGTGACACTGTGTAAAATTCGAAAATCAACTTGACCACATTTAATTCCTAAATTCTTGTTTCATAAAGATTATTTCACTAGCCTTGATTTTTCTTGATCTTAGATCACTTGATTTTGAGAGCTTAGACATAACATGTATTATATATAATTGTTTGGCTTTTGAAATACAAATTTATACCTACAAATCTTTTGAGGAAAGTACTTATAAAGTCATATGAAAATTTCGCGTTTTCCTCTTCTTCGCTTCCGGCACCGCAAACATTTACAAAGTACTTACTAGAACTTTCGATGTATATTCAGGAGTTATGGGAGTTCGAGTTTAAGCTGCTAATGTTGTTGTATCCTTGTTGATAGATCGGTTGTTTGTTTTGACTTCACTTATTGGTTCTATTTCAAAGGCTGGACGTTAAAAGTGTGACACAAGCTTTTGGGTTTTATGAATATAAGCTGGCCAAGTTAATGAAATTTAAAAAATATTTTGGCATAAAATAATCTGGTAAATTGTGTGGTTGATTTACTTTAAAATAATCAGTTTGCTTCTAATACAGGTAAGTAGGTAATTCGCTCAAATATACATGAAGAAATTTCAGTTCCAGTATACACACGATATTCTGCCCTCCTAACTTAACCACTAAAGCATAAGTTACTATGAGGTACTATCAACGCAACTCGTATATCATTGGCTTACAACCCTTACGATCGATAGCCTGCAAAGCAAAACACAAACAAACATTAAGACATAAATCCAATTTGGAGGTACCAACTTTCAAATACAACATTGGGACGATCGTTTAAAGAAATTTATGGCCAGGATCTTCGCAGTATTTGTCAGAGTAAAAACTGTTTAGTATAAAAAAGTATGGAACACGTGACCCGACTTGCCGCAGACAACAATTCATTGTTTTATTTTGTATGTAGGTAATAATAGCTTTATATTGACAAGACTGTTCTACTGCTTACAACAATAAGCGACGTAAGACTAAGAAAAAGAACTAGATCTTTTATTAATTTAAATTCATAAAAAAAATACTGTGTAAGTATTAGATACTATTGGAGTTTTCACATTAGGGAAGTGGGAAAAAGAAAACCATTGGAGAGAAAACAATGCGAAGCTGAATAGAATATTTTGAAATTTGAACTTTTCTGTTAACATCAATCAATAAATGGGTAAGATTATAGGCCTTTATCAAATTCGAAATATCGATTCATTTCAAAGTAGCATGTAATTCATAAGTACAATAATAGAGGCACAAACGTTATAATACCATTGTGCCACCCACAAAGTCAACTTGCTTTATTGGAATAGATCGAAACATGTCAAACATTTCAATTCACAATGGGTGTTTTGTAGATAAGGGGAAGATAGAGCTACCTCGAATTACAACCCCAAGTCTTATGCAATAAAGTTGTCTTATAAAAAAGCTGTCAAAAATATTTGCTTCTTAATTTTTGTGTACAATTTAATGTCTTCTTTATTACTTTACAACTAAAGTTGATTTATAAAAAACAGTTTTGATAGTATTACGCATTATGTATGGAGTTGTGAAACTCTTGTAATCAATAGATATTGGACATGTATGTATGATCTGCGGTTGGTCAATCCATCAATATATGATGTATTACTATCCTGTAGTTACACGAGTAGAAAGTCTTGGAACACGGATTGAAAAAGAACTATTGTTATAATATTGACAACCTCCGTGGCCGATTGGTTTGTAAGCCCGGTTTCATTGTGTCGCCGACTTGAGAGGTCCCGGGTTCGAATCCCGGTGGGGGTAGATTGTGTTTGTGTGATGAATACAAGCATTTGAACTCCAGTCATGGATGTTTAATAGGTATTTCTATATAAATATACTTATATATGTACTGAATATGTATTCTATCCGTTACCCTAGTATCCCATATAACACAAGCCTAACAGTGCTTACTTTGGGGCTAGGCTAATTGGTGTGAGGGTTGGAAATATTTATATTTATAATTAATATGATACATATTCTGAAGCTAAGTGTTTGTTTAATTCCAATCAAAATAATGATTAGTATTGTCAATAAAAGCAATATAATAAGATGTACTAAGAAAGATCTTATTATCAAATATAATAAAAATCGGTCAATCGCACAATGGATTCGAACATTCCTTGTCTTATCAATGTCTTGTATGTCCTGTGTGGTGTATGTCAATAAAGAATATTATTATTATTATTCCTCAAAAAACGCAGAAAACACCATATATTTTTCCTTTGGTCAATTTTTTCGTTCTTCTTAACCATCTACGAAAGATTTTTATTTTTCCTAACTCGTTATGAAAAAACAATATTATATCAGTTTTCATAATTGGTTAAGAAAACCAGCTGGAAAAAAACTTGTTTAATAACCAGTTAAGAAGACATCATTTAATTTTCTTATAATCATTGCTGTTTAATTGTTTCTGTTATCGTAGCAGCAACAGAATAACTTACATATTAGTAATTTCAACTGTATAATTATTTAAATATAATATTTTGTTAGGGTTCGAAAGATTCTGTCACACGGACGAACAAAGGAGAAGCCCCCGGTTTTATAATAATATCTGTTTTTTCTATTTAAACAGCTACTAATTTAAATATATATATATATATATATATATATATTCGGGATCGAGTTTGTTTTAATAATAGCTATTTACGGGCCAGTAGATCTTCGTATATTTAGCCTTTTGACACGTATTTTAATGTAACGGTTAAGATATTATGGTCGTTCACCCAGGGGTCAAATGCAAAACATTTAGTTATAGTCTCTGTGATCGGTTGGAAGAGTGCAACTAATTCGTTAAGTGTCATGGAAAGTTGTTTACCCCAGTGATATTCTGAATATTACTAATTGTTCAATGTAAAGATTTAGAGATTACCCCATTATTTATTTGAAATAAGCATACCGCTGGCAGCTTAGAATGCTTTTGTTTCTAAAATTGCTTTTAGATGTCCTACGAGCGATATAAGTAAAAAAACTTTGCATGTATGAATGTTTATTACTCAATTTATGGCTAACAGTACCTTTAGCAGGAACCAATATCGAATTCGTAACATTTGCGAGTCTGAAATGTCATTGAGTTCGAATAGTTTGCGAGTCTGAAATGTCATTGTCAATTTTTGTATGGAAACTTGAACAGCAGCGCCACACGGACGTAACGAGAACTGTTACGTCCGTGTGGCGCTGCTGTTCGAGTATGTGATAGTACTAAAGGGAATACCGTGGAGGGGAGCTCATTCCATAATTTTATTATTGGTGGAATTAGAGATCTCTGAAACGAACAGCTGTGGAGTTCATTGTTTCCAATGTGATTAACGTGTCTAAGTGCGGCCGTAAGTTTTGGTTTGATGTGAGAATGAAGGAGCAGAGTTATACTTACATTTGCATAGTGGAAGCCGCAAGCATCCATACATAGGTACATGCAGGTAGCTACCCCCTGGATCGTCAGGAGGCCAACCTTGTATGTCGCACGTTGAAGTATCGCTGTAACAATGGAAAAAATATATCTTCATTATTTTGAATGTAACATTAATAATGAGGCTCTATTTTTTTTATAGCTAGTTCCGACAAATTACTCCACTTATATGGGGGTAAGGCTCATTTTCGCAATATATAGTATAAGTAATTACTAACACTCGGATCTTATTGGCGTGACTTACAGTAAACGGTAAGGCAAAGTTGTGGGATCGGGTAACAGATAGAAATTCATATAATGATACATTATATTTAAGTATACATTTTCTAGAAATTTATATATATATATCTATACTTAAATATGACTTGGTACAAATGCTCATATTGATCATATAAAGATTTGCCCCACCGGAATACGACCCCAGAACCTATGAGAAGGCGACACTCATACTGTGGAGCTGGATCGACGTTTATTCTTTTGAATATTTGGTATATCAAATATCGTTCCTTTTGCGAGCATGTTAAAGCAATATCCATGAATTATAAGAAAACCGAACCTTAACTCAAATGATAATCTAAATCTAAACAAAAACTAAATCTTTTCTCACTTATACACAGGTATACTACTTATACCTATATTATTTGTTGTTCATAACAAAAATAGTTTGCTCTATCTGTGTCTAAATTATTATTTTTTCAAAACTAGTATATTTTTTAATTATAAATTAAAAATTAAGTTCCTGTCACTGTTATTTAAGTAAGTATTTCTAACTATGAAAGCTGGTTTTGTTAGTAACGTTGAAAACATGCAAAACAAGTCAACTCAAATGCCCGTGAGAAATGTACGAGTACTGTAAGTTAAATATTTTGCTTGGGTAATTCACAAATGCCTTATAAGGCTAAGGTGTTGTGGCGATTTACATGACAACCCATAAAACTACCTGAGTGAGAAGCTCCATCCTTTGTAAAAGGACCTTAAAAGAACTTCCTTATGTAGGATGTTTTATCACAGACAAGATAGATGCTATGCACTAAAAAGAAATAAGCATAAAATCTCTTTGGTCCATATCTTTAACACCATCTACGAAAAAAGAATTTGTATTCAAATTTTTCTAACTGTTAAGGAAAAAAAATCCGATTACATAATAGTTCCTTAAAAAACTAGTTAGGAAAATTGAAAATAAATTAAAAAACATAGTAGAAAAAATCTAGGCAGGGAGTGTTGATATTTAACTTTTTATTCGGTTTCGCACGTACGAAAACTATACAAGTAAATAAAAAGTTAAAATAACATATTATGACATATTATCTTAACAAAAATATTACTATGCACAGAAATTATTGCTTAGTCGACAAACATCACACAAGTATAGGAGTATAATAAATAGTCTCCAATATTGGATCACAATTTTAATAGCATCCCGTGTATACCGTCCAGTATATGGACTCGATCTTCTCCTAATAACCATTTATTTGTTATTAATAGAGGCGGTCCGCTGCAAACTAATATGTCTCAGTAAGGGCGGATTTGTAAAGTTAATTAAGTTGTAAACTAAGTAGTGATAAGTGCCCTCTTGATAGGAGACTCATATGCCGCATTGGTGAGAAGGCTGTACTGGAATAGGTTTTTGAATCTCGTTATAGGTACATATTTCCATTCACGTTGACGCTCCTGAATGCAGTCTTTATTTAATTTATACCTACTGGTTTTAATGTTATTTGTCACTAGTAGCAATTACTTCGCATAATTATTTATATTGACAAAAATATAGATACCTAATGGAGAGTATATTGAATTGCATATTCCTACAATCTTTACTGTTTGTTGTAGTTATACATATTTATACTTCAGATTTTAACAAAATATTCGAAATGTAGGCTAGTTTTGAAACTTTCTATTATATTTTCAAAAAGCTAACTCAAGTGACGCCCTCTCAGGTTCGAGTGGTCTGGAGGCTCCAGACGGAGAGGAGACTCCCCCCGTGGGGAGACGCCATCCGACTGGAATACCTCCAGAGGCACTCGCCAATTCTCGGCTTGAGGTCCCCTTAGGATCTCGCCGTCCCCAAACCCGGTGACGCTGTAAAGGTCATCTGCGACCAACAGCATGCACACTCAAAAAAAAAAATGTGTGTGACACAATGTATCATTATATGGATAAGTCTAATCACTTCAATTCCTATAGTTGTTACCAGGAAGTTATATGTATATACATATTCTGTTATATATATATAAATTCTGTTATGTCTATAAAAGAAAACTAAAGGACTTGAATTGATCATGAAGTTATATAAATCATATAACTTCATGGTTGTTACGTATTAAGAAGCTGTCCGAGAGATAATCCATAGAGTAGTAAAGTGTCGGGTATATCGATCAAGCAGCATCAGCGGTGCATTAAGAGTATTCAAGAGTATAAGAAGCTCGGCGTTCGGCACCTGCGGCAGTCGACGCAAAGTGCGCAGGCGCCTCTCAACTTATCTGCATGCTGTGACCAACAAATTGATAAGAGACGGACAAATTGGACTTTGTTATAAATTGCTATTGATACTTACACGTTTACATTTAAATTCTTGGTTAAAATGTATTAACGGTTTAATTTTATGTAAGTAAGAATATATTTTTAAACTTTAAGGTACACCATTATGTTGAAAGTACCATAGGTTTTTTAGCATTCTATATGTATGAATGAAAATTTTGTGAGCCTAAATTAAACTTTAGCTATGACCAGCATAAAATTGCGTGAATTGATGAAGCTCACAAAATTTAATATTTGCTTATTTTGTAGCAAAACTATTTTGCTACTTGTGTATAAGATAAAGCGATGACACAATTTCCATGACATTTTCGCCAAGAAATAGCTACGAAATAATAACAGACTCGTATACATATCGTTCATAACTTTCTAATTGAACGATTATAAATAATTTATTAGCCTAACCTCTATCACGATTGCTAATCGCTTCCTCCCATTAATGATATTGCAATCGCACCATTTCATCTTGTCTCGGGAACTATAAAATAGATATACACCGTAGTCGATAAGTGTGGAGTATCGATAAGTGCGCTAATTCTTGTTAAAAAGCTGTGAATGAAGCGGCTTGTGCAATTTACCTATATCCGCGCGGTGAGTGGCTGGTAGTGGTAATAAGGGGCTTTGACGTGCATAGTGTTGTGATCGTAGTCGACTATGATTTTATTACCTATATTTTTTAAAATTATAATCAGACATATAAATTTAAAAAGCAGAATAATACAATTAAAATAATATATTCAATATGTATACCTACATAAATATACTTATATATGTACAGTGCTTACTTTGAGGCTAGGCTAATTGGTGTGCCTGTTGGAAATATTTATTTATTATTATTAAATATAAAAAAATATAAATATTATAATAATTTTCTATACATGTAGCATTGCTAAAGTAAGTTTATATTTTCTGGACTTTAGCTCTTCTAAAATATTGTTGCACACTATACGAATTATAAACATTGGTAGAAGTATTGGTAGATTTTAGTGCATTCCACAATTTTATATTGATAAGTTCAATATTTATTTATTTTAACATTACACGTTATAATTTCAAATTATTTATATGCATCACAACATCACATTTTCTATACTTGATTATTTTATGCATTTTAAAACAAATAACATTAGACAAACATAAATTTCCACAGATACCATTGTATCGACTTCTCACTTCGCATGCCTTTTAATAACAGGCCTAAGGCGATAACGAGTAAATTGTTTTGTAATCACCACAAAGCAGGCACTAGGCATCGATCTCGACACTTCAGAGCAAATAACACGAATTAACCAAAGTTAAGTGAAAATAAAACCTCCATCGACATAGTACATAAAGAAAGAGCGCAACTCTACAATTATAGTTATTATTAATGTTGAACCTAATTTATTAGGTATAAGAATCAAATTACATTGTAGTCGCTGGAGAATCCGATATCCTTGTAATGAATCTGATAGGATCGCGGTGAATAGGTACTGTTCTGCTATTTGTAATTATTAAATATAGTTTGGTTAATTAAAACATAGCATTGTGGTTTTTAATTGATAAATTATAAGATACTATATTATATGATTCTGAATTTTGTACATAATGATATTATTTTTAAGAGCAAAAGGAAACTGAGCGAACCTTAGATGCAATTTATTTTTTTCCGTGATGGGTCCTTAGAGATGTAGACTGGAATATCAATAATAAAAGGTTCAGGTACAGTATATTGAGATACCTAAAACAATAAGTAAAAGAGCTAAGTACTAAGCTAACCATAAATACTAAACAAAGGAGTAAGTAGCGAGTGAATTACGCAAGTACCTACTATGTCTCAGATTAATGATATTCATAGATGAGTGATTCTCAATCCCATGACAAAAGTGAGCGCTACTGCGATGACATATATGTCATAGTTATGTACAGCAGTAGCTGTCACTTTTGTCATAGGATGGAGAATCCCTCATTCATTTGTTCACGTGACAACGAAACGGCCACACGCGTCGTCGGATGTGTCCGAAGAGGCAATTACCATCATTCACCTAATTAACTCGTTGACTTGAACAATTTGTAATGCAGTTGATACGGATAATTTAACGTGGTAGGTACTATTATTGCTTACTTACATAGTTGTTTAAATTATGTTTTTAAGTAGATTTTGATCAATTAATTGATTACTAACTTACATACGTGTTTCAATAAAAAGAGAAAAAAAACATTTTTTTCTACATTATTTCGGAAAGCTATAACTATACTTAATAAGAACTCGTCCGATATTTGTTTCAACAAAAAATCAAATGAATAGTATCATTTCTTAATTAATATAAAAGTATTTAATCGAAACAAAACCTAGACAAAAGCGTTATCGATGCTCTAAATTAAATCGTTTTAACAATTATGATATTAATGAATCATTTGTCAAAAATTTAATAAAATAGAAGATAGTCACAACGTTAGTTTTTTATCTTAATTAATATTTGTTAATGACACCTCATCTTCGGGTCAGTTGAGATAGGTTCGGTTTTTACGTAAGAGCGATACACATTTGATT